TCACTGGATCCTGGGAACCCACAATTTCCTGCTCTTCAACAAGTTCTGGATAGCCAGTAAGCATAGTTAGACTTACTTGATGGGGGTGATTTCCCATAAAATGTGCAGTGGAAGAGGAAGGAAAAACTGAAAACTTCCATGTGCTTGGTGTCAAATGGTATCTGAGGGACTTAACATGTGACATAGATTGTAGAACTCCATCTAAGAAAGATCCTGAAACATCGACATGTTGTTAGTAACATGGTAGACAACATCAGTGCTCTAGAAGCATGGAAGTTCCATGCACAGAATGAAGCATGATCAAGCATGCCCCACCCCACTGTAATAGTGCTACTACCCCATCATAAAGGATGAGGGCACCATCAGTGTTGTGCCACAATACACACATGCTTGTTTCCATACAACACACACAAATATGTGCCCACATTCATACATTTAAGAACATGTATGTGTCTACACCTTTGCATGCAGACACACACACACACACACACACACACACAGAATTATACTTTGAATTCCAATTAGATGTACAATAAATTGGCATAACAAGAAATTAAATATAAACAAACAACCTTTGTGGCATTGGTATGCATGTGTATGGTATGCATGTTGTATGCAGAACTATGAGTATAGTTATGTGCATATTTTTATAAGTATCTATATGATATACCTAATATGTACAACCATATCTAACTGCATATACATCCGTATATAAATATAAAGATAAACTGAAATCCCAGCTCCCAGACACTAGCCAAGGAGGCAGCAGAACTTTCTGAGTGGTTGGCTTGATGTGTCAGCTCTTTCCTGCCTTCAACGCTTGAGTTCCTATTATGTTTATTAACAGTATGATTCATTTGAAACAAAATTCTGCACAATTTTTTCACAATGCCTTTTAATATTAAAATAGTCTCTAACTTTCAGAACCACAAGAAAACCCTCTAAGGCAGAAAGCTACAAGTTGATCATGAAAAGTACCAGGGAAGGGCCAATGAGATTGCTAGTTGTGTGGAAGGAAAGAGCTGACTCCTCCTAATTTGTTCATTGACCTCCATATAAACAGAATGACAGAATGGCATGGTGTGTATTCTATGTTCATTCTCTCTCTATTGTATAGATGTATTTATTTCCTCATCACAAAATAAGTAGATAGACAGATGTTATTATTTTATTTACCAATCAGAAGATTTCTATACACTTATCATATGCTATAATTAATTTTTCAAATAATAAAAAAAATCTCATGCAGCTCACAACTGTTTGTAACTCCAGGACCAGAGGAGTTGACACTCTCACACAGGCATACATAAAGGCAAAACATCAATGAACATAAAATAGTGAATAAACAATTAAATATTTGTAGGAGCTAGTGGGGTCAGGAGCCCCACAGTCATCCCACAGAACTAACTAACCTAGGCTCATAGTGATTCAGAGACTGAACTACCAACCTGGGAGCATGCATGGGACTGACCTATGTCCTCTCCATGTATTTTACAGTTGTATAACTTGATCTTCTTGTGAGACTCCTAACGATGGGAGCAGGGCTTGTATTTAATGCCTGCTTTTGGGACCCATCCCTCCTACTGAATTGCCATGTCCTGCCTGAATGTAAGAAGTCATGCCTAGTCTCACCACAACTTGATTAAACATGGCAGGCAGATATGCACAGGACACCTGCCCATTTCTGAAGAGAAAAAAAATAGGAGGAATGGATGGGGAGCAGGAAGAGTAGAGGTTGGCAGAAGGAAGGAGAGGAGAGGATGGAGGGGAAATTTTGGTCAGGATGTAAAAACAAAAATAAATGAATAAAACCAAATTTATTCCAAAAGAGGGAGAATATTGATGGTTATCATATTTAAATTTGAGATACTAAAAGAATGTCACTCCAGGGACATTGCCACTTATTCTAACTTTATAATGTGTTTGCAGTTGTACAGGGATTGCTGGGGATG